TATTTATTTATTTATTTTGAATTTGATCATTATTTTTATGATTGTAATTTTTTTTATTTGGAGTTCTCTTCTTGATTATTATTTTTTTTGTCACTTTCATCCTTTATTGTTTAATTTCATTAAACTTTTATATCATATTTAATTTTTATTTTTAATCATATTTTTAAAACCCAGCTCGGGAGTTTACCCTTATCATGTTCCAGGTTATAGGTTGGGTTGAATAGCTAGGGTTACTAGGGTCAATTAGATTTTTTATTGTGTAGGAAGTAAGAATGATATTATTTTAATAGAAAAAACAATAGAAAAAAAATCAATAGGGATTGACATGATTTTTCCCTAACTAATAACTTGATTTTTTTATTCAGCTAAAAAAATAAAAATAATAGTATTTTGATAAAAGAAATAATGGAGAAAAGGTTCAATTATAACCCTCTTTTTTTTATTGGTTTTTCTTTGTTTAGATTGTTTCTTTTTTTAATTTCATCTCTTTCCATTTGATTTTGTTTGGTTTTTATATTAAATATGGTACTTATTCTCTTGATTATTACTTTTTTTTTTTTATCATTTTCTTGGGTTTTTTTCTTTCAATTTTCCCCCTCACCATTTTATTTTATTTTATTCCAGATTTAATTCTTATTTTTTTATTTGCTCTTTTTTTTCTTAATTTGTTTTATCTTTCAATTTTATCTCTCAATATTTTATTTTATTTATTTTTTATCCATTTTTTGTTCTTATTCTTGTAATTGCTCTTTTTTTTTTATCTTTTATCTTTTTTATTTTATTTTCGATGAAGTCCCTTGTTATTTTTTTCATTAGTTTTTATACCAAATTTAGTTTTTATTGTTTTGATTACTATTTATTTTTTTTTTAATTTTTTTATAGTTAAGAATTTTGTTCAAGATTGTATTTTGGTCTTTTATATGATCATCTTAGTTTCATGACCAAAATTGTTGATTTCAAAAATTAGTTCAATTTGACTTTATTTTTATTTTTTTATTTTTTTATTTGATATTAAACTATTTGGACTTGGGTTTTCTATTTTTTTTCCTTTCTTTCTTTTTAGATTATCTTGAATAGCAAATTTATCAAGTTAACCTATACTCATTCAAGTTATTATTCTTTGAGTATTTTTGTTATGTTAGAAAAAAATTTACTTACCCCACAGCGTAATATTGGTTAAAAAATCTAGTAATGTACCTTAGTCTAAGCAAACAGTGTTTAAAAGACTAAAGTTCTATATCTAAGCAACCACGTTATTGCTGCTGATGGTTCATTGCCGATTGAACCTGCAATGCTAACTATATGTTTGAGCTTGTTGGTTATTGACCATATCGTTCAAGTGGGAAAAGGAGCAAACCTGAAGAAAACAGGCCAGGCATTAAAGATGAGGAGAGCAAGGTCGGATCGATAAAAAGTTGGCATCAGCCAAACCATGTAATTTGCAGGAAACTAGATATTTCAATTGCGTTTATTGTGGATTAGATAATTATTTTTCAGCAAAAAAAATAAATATATAGGCTTTTTTAATGTGTTGTTTAACAAAAAAATCATAATTATAAATTAAAAAATTTATCCACATATTTAATTAATATAAATTGAGAATTATTTGCTTTAATAAATACAAAAAGAAAGGTGTTAATACTTTATTTGACTTGTTTCTCTATTAGTCAAATAATTGTTTTTCTTTGCACAAAAAAATAAATATCTAGGTATTCATAATGTGTTTTTTTAACATTGAAAAAAATATAATTATTAATTAAAAAATCAATACTAAATCATATACATTAATAAATATAAAAAAAAGTTGTTAACATAATACTGAATATAGAATAAAGTTAATTTTTAACATAGTAAAAAACATATGATATTTAACCCTAGCTTTTTCCTTTAATGCATACCTTCCTTTTTTTCTTTTATCTTAAACATCATTTTTTATTATCAAGAACAAATCATTTTTATTTATACAAACACACATCCTAACTAGATTTTGCTATTCAATGAATTCGGTGCAAAATCCATGATAGAGTTTATGCATCAAATTACATCTAATAACTTTTTATTCATCAAATTATTTTTCATTCAGTTATTACTAAGTGCGTAGCTATAAAATCTTGGTGCATAGTGATTTTTTTATACACAAAACAATAAAAACAATATTTTAAAAAAAAAAAAAGAAGAAAAGGGGGAGCTCATGCTACTAAAATAAAAAACTTGCCTAAGTTTTTGAAGTTTGATAAAGAAGAGAACATTTTTTATGCCCAAAAAAGAGACTTTAAAATATCAAAACAAGGATGAAATAATTTTTATTTTTTTTAAGTTTAAGGGTTGAAATTATAATAGCTATTAAACATAGATCAACCCACCAAGATGACTTGTAACCTAATCAACCCAAGACCTAGACTAGGTAAGGTTTAAACAAAAACAAAAAGGAGTAATTGACCTAACATAACCTCCTTAAAAGTCCGGTTTGATCCTTGACCATATCAAAGTTCGAATTGAAACTTGTTGAATTTTAAAAACAATATCATTTTGATTTTTTATATAAAAAAATGAATTATTTTTTGTGTTCAATCCATCCGGCGTGTTCTTGAGTCCTTGTTGTAGGTCGGGTTTAATAACTATAAAGAATATATAAAAAAAACAACAAACGGGTCATGCATGTGAGCTAACCAACACTCCTGGTCTATACAAATATCCTACCTTGCATGTTAGGCCTATGTAAAGAGGTAATGCCTGCAAACTAGGCCTATGTTTTTTTCCAAGTAATAAAGGGTGGATGATGCATCATCTATTCTTATTTTAAAAAAAAAAAAATTAAGATGATACATTATTTATTTAAGTGGACGACATGTCATCTATATATATAAACAACTAGTTGTATGGGCTTCAAAACAACTTATTTTTAGGCCTAAAATCTGGCAACTGAATGGTCCTAAAAAATCAAAGCAGTTGGTTTTTAACCAAAAGTTGTTTTTCAATCTTTTTTTTACCTAAAAAACCATCCAAAAACCTAAATAATTTTTTTATGCCTTTAAACAACTCAAAAAATGGTTAAAAAATTAAAAATCAACTCGAAACCTAAAAATTCCCCAATGATAGATCTACTTTCTTATGAAATTTTAAGATTAAATAATGGTTACGTTAAAATCCCCTCATTGATGAAACCCGTTAATCCAATATTAACATTTTTCATAGTTAGAATTGGTGCAAACAATGACGAGGTAAAAAATAAGAAAAAAAATTATACCAAAATTGAATTTTCAATATTTAGAATCACCTAAATTATAAGGGTGATCATTTTCGGTTCGGTTCGGTTTTTATATTAAAAATGAACTAAACCGACATTATTAATTTTAAAATTTTAAAACCAAAACTGGTTCAAACCAACTGGTTTCGGTTCAGTTTTTGTTGTTCAAAAACCGGTAAAACTGAAAAGAAAATCTCGGTGCCCAGTACTCACAAACTCCAACTACAAGCAAATCTCGATGTCCAATGCCCATAAATTACAAGCAAATTTTGGTTTCTGTTGTTCAAGAACACAAATCTGCCCACAAACTACAAGAAAATTATAACATAATAATAATAAAAAAAATAAAAACCCACAAGATGCAGACTACAGAGATGAACTTGAAATGGAGTTAAAATTTTAATCATCAAAAAGTCATTTCTTTTTTAATCTGCCTATGTAGTTTAATTAAAATAAATGTTGATGCAGGGGTAAACTTAAAGAAATGAGAGGAGAGATAGAGGGAAAAGAAAGAGGGGCTATGGAAGATGAAAGGCACGGAGAAAATGGAGAAATGAAGGGGGGCTAAGAAAAGATGATGAGAGGCAGGGAGAAAAAAAAAAAGAAAAGGGAGAGGGGCTGTGAGAAGATGATAAGAAGCAGAGAAAAGGGAGGGGGGGGCATCAATTGCACTTTAGGTCTAGGGTTTTTTCTATTTATACTTGGTTTTTTTTTAAATGCTGAAATAGTTGAATCGGTTCAGTTCGATTCGGTTCAATCAGTTTTAGACTTTAAAAATCAAAACCGAACTGAACCATAAATTTTTTAATCGGTTAATTCGGTTATTTTTTTTTCTAATTTTTTTGGTTTACTCAATTTATCGATTTTTTTGCTCACCCCTGCTAAATTGTATTATCCGTAAAGATTAAGGAGCAAAGTTTTTTTTCCACGCAACACACCACCCATTTTGGGTGTCTTTTTTACTTGAGTTTTTTTATCTTTTAGTTTTATCTTAGCCTAAAAAATCATAAGTGATTGATCTTTAATTAGAATCAAATCATTCAAAATAAAAGTTTGATGACCAAAATGAAAAAAAAAAAATGATGAACCTGTAAGTGTGTGAACAGTGCAATCGTATCTTTCCCTGCAGTAAAATAGTCATGCCTTTCAATGTTTTGATGACGAACAAAGATGGATTGATATTTTTAGAAACCCCCAGAGGCCGGAATTCTAAACGGGGTAATTTTACAAATGCCAGCTCTTTCAGCCCTGACCAAAGACGTTACCAAGCCAAGAAACCATGCATTGCACTGAACATAGACCTCCCAAATACACCAAACTAAGCTATAACATGTGAAACTTTATAGATAGTTAAATGCGGTTAAAATTGCTTTTCACAATACTTTTTATTTAAAAATATTTAGACATGTATAATTTTTTTAAATTTTTTTTTTTTTTACATTAACATAATAAGAAAAAACATTAATTTTAAGTAAAAAATTCAACATTTACTCGAACTCGATGCAAACATAGCCCAAACAGGTATTTAATTTAGCTCGTTCATGGATGGCAGGACGTATCTTACAGGGTTGATTTCTAGATTCGTAAACGAATGAGAAGGGTGTGCATAACCATGCAAAGGGAAGTGAAAAACAAAAAATGAGAAGGAAAGAAATGAAAATCAATGACGGTCTAAATGAATAGTGAATGACAATTAAGATGTTCTACTGATCTCAACAAGAGTAAGTGCGTGCAGTATGATCCCTCCTCTTTGGACAAAACCACTCTTATTCTTTTAGATACAATCACTGCCAAAAATTAAATGTACAAGAAATTCACTGAACAGTTTTTTTCTGTCGGGTGACTGAAAACGCTACAGCCTTCAATCCTTTCAACAGAATTTTGAGATTATACAAAATAAACATTGGAACACATAGCAAGAACTTGCAGTTACTAAAATAAATCAAAAAGACCTTTATTATACATTTCTGTGACTTCTGGAGAGAGATTTCTTCCCTTGAAAGAGTTGTTATTGACAGAATATCAAAACATTACTGACACCTGGAGCAAGATGTTCTTTTACCCGTCATCTTGCAACTCACCCCACCATCACAGGTGTCAGCACTTGTAGTAAATATTTTGGTCACCAATCGGCCGCATCAATACTGCTTTACAAGATGCTCCGAATGGGGTGACCACAGGAAAAAAGGAAAAAAAAAAAAATTCCAAGATTGCCTTTTAAAATCAACTCACCCACCACATTGCTATAAGCATATCTCTTCAACAGCCACTTCCAACATGCTGCATGCAGTGAAAGGGCATATTCAGTATCCACAAAACTTGGCCTTGCAACCCTAAAGCTATCCTGTCATATTCTCAGGAACTAAATTGACCAACAAGGCAAATATTGTAATTTCAATCAGCTGTTGTTTTCCAATAAGAAATTTCCATTAATCTAACTACTACAAGTGAAAGGATGTTTTGAGCAAGAATACTTTGCCAAACGAAGTCTTGAAATAGCCCATTTAGAAGCATTCCAACTCTCATTTTATGATGCTAATTGCAATAATAGATTCCAAGTAGTAGATAAAATGGATTGTTAAAAGGTGTTGTCGCACAAAAGAATTACCTCCATGCATCTATAGGTTCTTTCTGTGCTGTGTGTTGGGACCAGGCTTATAGGTCAGATGAGTAACAGGAAGGAATAATCTGGTGACAACTGAACATCATACTTTACGTGGCAGAACCTGCAGGCGAGGCTTTGCCCTCATAACTGTTTCATCACTATGCCTGATCAGTTCTGACAGTCTCCATGGTTTCTGCCACTTCCATTTGAATTGTAAAAGCCACTGGTGATGACTTCTCTTCCACCTCCATAACTTCCCACCTTGTCCTACAACTGCTAATTTTCTCATTGATAACTGCCCAAGTGGAACCATCTACACTAACAATAAAACCCATTTTCTTAGTCAAGCAACAACACCGATCCATACCTACAATGGAAGGAGGAGAAGAAGCAGACTAACCTTTCTAGTCTGATCAATGAATGCTGCTGTCTCTCTGACTGAACCATTAGCAATTCCTGGCGTATATTTTAGTTGTTTCTGTGCTGGGACAGACACTGGAGACAGTGGACCACTCGTGTCATCCTTCGAGTGTTTCAGTGAATTGTGGGAGTTCCTCTGTTCTTGTCCAGCCTGTAGAATTGAAGGCAGTCATAGTCTAAACTAAGAATGATAATAATATGTAACATGCACTTTTTTCAGTTCAAGGCTAAAGAAACCATGGCACGCTCACGAGTCATAATAGCTTCATAGATATATAGAAGAATACCCAATCACAACAGCCCAAACTTCTACTCTTGTATTGGGATTCCCTCTCCTTGAATCCATATTTACTATTCTTTGAACAAATTTTTGTTCAAAACGAAATTAGAGATAGTTTTAAGAATTTTTTAGCTAAAGCATGAAGGGGCCAGCTTATAAAAAGTGCTTAGAAGATTCATGTCCTTGCAATCTTCATCATTCTAATCTTAAATCAAACAAAGGTAGATTTCAAAGCTCCAAACTTTTCATACAAAGTCGATAAAATTAACAACCTCTAATATTATTGGACCATCATAAGATGTTAAACATATGAGCCAGACCACTTCAATTTAACTTCAATTCTGTCTTGCCTTGAATCATGGATCTAACATGTTCAGTTGTATCTTCAGGAATTCTAAAAACTGTTATTTGACGCATGAGAAGAATAATTTTACAAAGTGACATAATCTTACAGAGGCTGCAGTAGCCAAAGCAACTGCAAGTGCATGCTCTCTCAATTTTAGCTCCTTCTCAGATTCTTTTCTTTGTGCTTCACTTTGTTGCAATAGACCTACAAGTTCTTTCAATTGTTCTTTCATTTCTTTTATTTCCATTTCCTTCTCCCATAGTTGACACCTGTTGAGAACACGCAACTAGGTAAGCATAAATTTTACCAATCATTACAATTAAAAACCATTTAAACTGCCTCCAAATGATGGGAATTTAGATGAAGCATGTTTTGCGTTGAAGGTAGACAAGTTGAATATTTGCACGCTGTGCATCCTATATGCTTGGCAATAAAATATAATAGACAGAAACTTGCTAGTTTTAACACTATTTCCTTTTTTTCTCTTATGGTGAAATAAATTCCTTTATTGCCGCCCATGCTCTAACTTTAAACATCCATAGTTCAAAGCAAGCACCTTGCATCTCCCACAGAATTAAACATATACTGGAGCAAATTCTTTGCATCTCCCATTGAACGAAGCTGATTCCAACGTCCACGGTTAGTAAATGCACGCTCTCGCTCTTCTGCTTCTGAAAGTTGTGAAGCCATTGCTACTAGTGAATTAGATGTTATGCTCAACATGTTTTCAAGCGATGATATTCTGGCCATTCTCGCATTTGGTGACATCGAAGATGCCCTGAAAAGCAGGAAAGATATGTTAAGATATTATGATGTTGATTTGAAGTATTGCTCTTTTACTTCCTTGATGCTGCCTAATTTATCAATCACTGGCAACCGGAAAAGCAGAAGTAAAAACTTATTAAATTACATAGCTTATACCTAGCAAATCCATTCTTTCCTCGTGGAGGACTTAATCCTTTTGAAACAAACTCGTCTACTTGCTTCAACACCGCCAACTCTTCTGCAAGTGCAGCTCGCCTGTAGATTGCAGTATAATCAAAACAAAACTACAATAGTATGTTATAAAACAGATGGAATTACCAAATATAGAATTAAGTTCATACACTTGGCTTTGCTTCTCATATTCAAAGCGAACTTCATGCACATTTACCATGACCTCTAGCTCATGATCAAGCCAACGTTGCAAGGATTTTTCATTGCTCTGGATATGCAAACTTAAATTGAATGAAAATGCATCATAAGAACAATTATACAAACATAACTTGCAAACAGGAAGTCAAGACAATCACCTGAACATTTGCTCCATTTCCATTGGAGATAGCTGCATGATGGTAATACCATTAGTAATGTGATGTACAAAAAGAAACAAACACTACATAAATACCCCATGTTTTCAATAATAAAATAGATCTACCAGCTGAAGAATTAACCATTGGCTGCATATGCCATGGTCGTAAAAGAAAATGTTCATTTTGAATACCTTATATTGTAGAAGCTATTGTTTGCCAAAAACAATGGGGTTCAAGGTCACAAGCCTCGAGGACAAAGTATTTGAAATTAACAACCATACCTGAGTTGTCTCGTGCAGAAGATTTTCGAGCTTCAAGCAGCTCTTTTAACCTTTTGGTGGCCATTGCAGCCTCTTCTGTCTTTCTTTGAAGAACCTGAAGTAAGGAAGATTGTTATGCTACAAATTATTTATATTACACCTAATTTAGAGACAGTTACAAGAAACCAATGATTGTGCATGCAGTTGCTTTCACTTATACTAACAGCAACAACAAGCAGTGCTAGTGACAACCAAAAGAGCTGAACATTTATCCAAGCAGCGATGCCTTTGGAAAGGCAGAAAATATACCAAATACTAGTGATATAATCTAGAGTCAAGAATTCATCATACAGAACAATATGATCCATTGCAAAAAGCATAGCCAACAGATGGGGATGAGAAGTAGGAAATTTATAGAATTAAAGTTTGTCTCCATATAATACATTAAGCTCTTTGAAGCTCACAGTGAATTAAATAATAATGTTGCTTGAGCTCACCATTTTCTGGCGCTGGTTTATAGCTTGTAGCTTATGCCTTTCATATTCATTTCTTCTACCTTCCTTCCGTAACTACACAAGCAAACTCATTATCATAAGAGGGGGATTAGGAGATGAACAGTATTATCAATTAATAAAACAGCAAACATTAAATGAGAGTTTGCATCTATTAAAGCATATTTATGATAGTCAAACAAAGTTTATCTTGGCATCATAGTTTCATAAGAATCTTCAATCTCATATACAAATGAGAAGATTTTATGAATTGCAATGAAATCCAATTCTTACCAAATCTATTTCCTTTTTGCATCACATCCCAGAAGCAGGCATAACTCAATAGAAAGCACAGAAGAATAGGTGGAATAGAGATTTTCAGATACTTCAGCAGAACAAAAAGGAAAATACCTGCAGCAGTTCCTTTTCTCGAGAGGCCTTCCACTGTCGAAATTGCTCTGCCTCTTGTTTGATCCTGTGTTGCAACTGAACCTGTATTCTCAAAAGAGAAGGAAATAAAAGACATGTTTGCAAATTAAAGTAGAAATAGACTGTAAAAAACTAAAAATATGTGCGATCTTGCAAGATAATTCACCTTTTGTGCCTTTATAGATTGAATTTCATCTTGTAACCGCTTTGCTGCCTCATCACTTTTTTGTTTTTGCTTTAAAAGCTGAACTTGGTTCTCTTCTTTCTTCTTAAGATCCAGAATCTGGCAGCATTGATGGTAAAGATTGTTTAACTTTTAACAAACATTGTTATGAGTCTCTTTCCTCGGAAAGAAAATTAAATGGAATTTTTAATATAACATTATCACCTGTGCCTCGAGAGTTTTTAATTTCTGGGCATCGATATCTTGCACTTTTTGCCCATCCGAACCAGCAGAAAGATTTTCAATTTCAGCCAGCAGACGGTCCCTCTCTTGCTGAAGTCAAAACAAAAAATGGGAAATTATGGACAAATCACTCTCTTACTCTTAAAGAATAAGCTATAGAAATTTGTTGAGTTATTTTCAACCTGCACGGCTCTTTTTTCATCCTCTAATTCCATGATTTTCTTGCCAAAGTGTTGCTTGAGAGCTGCAGTGTCAACCCCTCCAAAAAGTTTCATCTCTGACTGCTCATATTAAAGAAAAGCATCATATAAGATCAAGTTACTTATATTATTCAAGGATTTCAGTTAGCGGATGCATTATAAGCAAAATATGAAGCAGATTACTTAAAAGATATGCTTGTGAATAACAATGTCTCTATCTCTGAATGGAGTGCTTTAATGGAAAGAAATGGGCAAAAAGAGAAACAGATCATTGAACAGTTACATTTATGAATAACGATGACTATATTTCTAAATGGATTATTTTAATAGAAACAAAAACTGCCTATTTGAATATGTATTTGAGAAACCATAATTTATAAATTAGAAAATGTAGAAGCACAATTTTCCAGCTTCAGAGACTTCTGGTGCTACTTGATACAGTCAAAATCACCTTATACGATTCCTCTCAGTTTTTTTTTTAAAAAAAAAATTGAGTAAACTTAACAAATGCTTAAATTTTTTTTGTAATCATGTCCTGTAAAAATATGCAGAAAAATTCAACCAGCAGTATGATTGTAGAATATTGTGTGGGAAATGCATGATCCAGAAATTATATGCATTACCACTATTATACACATAAAAGACCCACCTCTTTCTCCTCCAGACGTCTGTTCAGTTCATGCAATTCTTTGTCCATTGTATTCTGCAAAAGTGTGTGCTCCCACTCTTTCGCTACTTCTTCATCAATATCCCTGGAGTCACCTGCTTAAAGTTGGAGTTATTAATACCGTTAACACTGCTACAACTGAAACAAACCTTCTGTTTATTTACCAAAATAAGAGAAGAAAGGGAGGTGGAAAAAAAAGGCAGATAAAAAGTCTGAAATAATTGCCACAACTGGAAAAAATAAAGGAAATCCAAGATAGCAACTGATGATCTAGTGGAGCTCACCAGAAATCGTTTCACCCATTTGATAATCTGGAGACTCTATACTATGCAAGCTCCTTTTGAGCCCATCAGTTTTCACAGAACAGATACTGCCATCCTGAAAGATGAAGCTCTATATTCATGCTGTGTATTTATGAAAGGGGAGAAAAATCATTCCATTCCAAAAAGGAGTATCTGCCACGTACTTGAGCGTCTGTTTCACGCTGCTCCACAGCAGTGCATCTGCTGCGGTAATCATGAAGTTCGCGACAAAGGTCCTCATTGGCAGCTTCAAGCCAAGCAATTCTTTCCTTAAGAACCTACATGAATGATTATGAGGAAACTTACACAAAACTGTTGCAGAGAGATTGTGTACAAAGAAAGGACCAACCAATGCTCTCCTTAAGCACATAAACGATACATAAGTTTATTCTTGTCATTGACAGAACATCTCAGGTATAAGTTTGCATAATCTAATACCTGAACTTCATCAGAAGAGCATCCTCCTCGGGAAAAAAGTTCCGCCTGCAAATACTCAAGTTGTTGGCGCATCTTTAGCATCTCACTGGACATTGGGTCTCTGTTAACCTATCAACACACAAGACAAAAAAAGTTTCATTCATGATGCTTCATGAAAGCTTTCAATCTTTATCTACACATGGAAAAGAAATAGGAAAGAGTTATTCTGAAAAGCTTACAACAGGCTTGTTTTGGATGTTGCGGGCACGATTTGCATACTTTAAGGTGTTGAGGGTTTCCTCAGCATTGGTATCAGCTGGACTAATGCAGGCTGTAAAAGGCAACCACTTAGATGTTTGGGAAACATAAAAAAAAACAACGCAATGGATAACAAGTAACAAGGATTTGAAGGGAAATAGAACAGAGGAATTAGATTTTGGGTGGGTACCTATCATAACAGTTCTGCTGTTACCACCAAGGGAGTCCTGTCAAAAAATACAACTCTAAGCTACATAAATATAGGAAGCATCGGAGTAAAATGAAAAACTCGAATGCACGAAGACCATTCTTAACCATCTCATACACCATAAAGGTGTGCTCATCTTCCTAATGGCTTATAATTAGTACCAGTCCATATGTCTGACCGATTTTGAATTGACTAAATTACACGAACAAGGCTACTGTATTGTGTCTTAGAGTCAGAGATGAAAAACAAGCTTGATGGTGTGCAACGTTCAACAAATCCAGGTGCACATTTCCAATGTCTTTTTCAATTAGTTAATTATTTATCATTCAATGCAGTCAATCAAATGCTATATGCATCAATTCAGTGGCTGGCAGGACAATTAACCATATGAAAGAATTGGCTTGACTATTTTCACAAAGGAATCCTTGTTAAAAGCTCCCATTCTTCACTCTCAAGTGTGTAATACCTGCAGAAGCCGAGTCAATTTACTGTCCCGATAGGGAACATGAACACCTTCTTTTCGCCTTTTATCATCACCAAGTGCACTGATAACATTACCAAGTGCAAGAAGGCCCTTGTTGATATGAACTCCTGTGTAAAAAAATAAAGCTGTTGTATACCTTACAACAAAATTCACATACATTAAGTCACAAGCAATTCCACCAACCTTCCTTAAAACGCATGCCATCTGAACCAGTCCTCTTTGCACGCTCAGATCCAGCAAGATCTACTAAATGCAACTTTGCACATAGATACTCTTCATTCATACTGTCATTTGGATTGCTATCACAAGGGAAAACTGGATTGACCTTACGCATTTGCTCAAGGGTGATGGTGAAGATGGCATGAGAACGACTAGATAAACAAAAAAAAAAAAATAATCATGTGTCACTAAAGCTAGCGGTATCTACTTCAGCTTCAAAAGTAAGAATTTACTTGCAAAGTCTTCAAACCAGGTGATAAAACAGAATTAAAAACTGGAAAGTTTATAAGCTCATGCATATGGTATTCAACAACAATACTGAACTCTATTATGCATGTCTATCTGAACAGATCATCATCACGAGTCTTTCCATAAGTTGTAGTTAGCTAAGGCACGAGCATGTAATGTATTATAGAAAGAAAATGGTATTTTGATGAAGGAAAATCAATACCTAGAGATACTAATAGTAAGATCAGTAATATACCTCGATTGATTGTTCATATTTGTGCTTCCTGTTGCCCTGCTCAAAGATCCTTGTTCTAGGCAAGTGGCCATTTCTTTAAATGTACTAACACTCACTTCTGTAGATCCTGCCAGTGTTATAACACCATTTGATGTTTCACGAATTTGTATTGGTGGTTTTCCTGGGAGATTTACTTTCCCTCCGTGCCCATTTGCAGTATCTGATTTGTTCAAAGTGGTGGGATCCAGCAAATCTCGCACTTCTTCTTTCAGAATCTTTCACATCAAAATCTCACAATTAGATACCCACCACACAATTCCAACATTTGTTAAGAAGCATACATATACTAGAAACTAGTGATATATATTTTCAAAACTACTGCAGGAGTATACATATAACTCACACAGCACTTCCAATCAAAAGTTCCTGGATTTAGATAAACAATATGGCATTAATATCTCATTATCTTCAGTTAAATCACTAACAGATGAGGGAGCAGTCTAATCATTCAACGCAATGTTTAGAACTAGACCAGGTTTCTACAAATATATAAAAGCAGTTTTTTTAATGGACATTCTATCAACATAAACTGCAAAAGCAAATTATTAGATGATGTGGATTCAGCAACTTATCTTTCTACAAGCCAGAAATATGATATGCAATTGACTTTAGAATCGAACATGATATTTCAAGTGAAATGCTATAGCTTAAAGATAGTCAGTGAGTGAGTGAGTGAGTGAGAGAGAGAGAGAGAGAGAGAGAGAGAGAGAGTTAACAGAGGGCTAATCGATGACAAATCCGTAGAGTTAAGAGTGGCAGATGGAGAAAAGAAATGCTTCAACAAACCTCAATGAAAGAAACATGCAACTGGAATTCAATTTGATGCTTTAAAGCTTCAATCTTGCTGAATAGAACATTCATGACTTGAGGGATTATTCCCATTTGGCAACCATCTTTGAAGCCTGTGCCCATTGTATATGTCTTCCCAGATCCCGTCTACAACAGATTGAAAAGTAAATACAAGAAAAGAAACCAACATTTCCACGAACAATTTTGTTCCACTTGACCAGATTTTCCATGGAAAATAAAGCTTTACCTGACCATAAGCAAGAACAGTCGCATTATATCCTTGGAATAAACCATCAACTAATGGGGCAATACATCCTTCAAACATAGCAGACGAGGGAGTGCCACTGCTCCCATAAACATGATCAAAAGTAAATGCATGTGTGCCTATTTGTACCTGAGACATCCTCACAATCAAAATACAACGTCAGAAAAAAAATAAAAATAAAAATAAAAAACCAGATACCAAGATATTTAGTATTTTGTCGTGTCCAAGAAAGCAGAGCTTAAAGAAACTTTAAAAGTTCTGTAACTATATCACGCAAATGCATCTGCAATGTCATATGAAGAAAAGGAGTGAAAAGAAAATGGCACCTACATTATCCATTAAATAGCAGATGATAAACAACACAAAATGAATGCAATTCTGATGTCTTTATATTTCATCATCATTGAAGGTAACAAAAATGTCAACTTGAACTACAAATAGAAAGTGCAACTTTGAACATGAGCTTGAGACAAGTCTGCATGGCAGGAATAACACTGGTTGACAGATTTTGACCAGTCCTTGAGGAAATCCAATTTAGATATCCAAACTGAAAAGAAAAGGAACAGTAACTTTTCATGATCCCTTGATGATAGAGAAGCTTTGTCCAGGTCTTACGCTAGAATTACATGATAACACTATAAATTGATTTGAAAAAAAAGACACACCTTATTCAGATTGAGAAATAACCAACAAGAATAAGAAAAAAGATTGAATTAACGAAGCAAGCAGGCCACCTTATCACTATCATCGCCATTGTATAAAAACCAAAGAAAAAACTAAGCTAAACAGAAATTCCTTAGCAGTTAATATCTTTCGCAGTAAACTTAACCTCGCAACTTTCAGTCAGTTTAAAGAGTATTTATGAGTGAGGTAGGGATTGCTTTTCAAAGTTATTTCGGAAAATCATCAAAATAATATTTTTTTATTTTTAAAAATTCATTTTGAAATCGCCACATCAAAAACACTAAAAAAAATTAATTTGAAGAGAAAAAATCAAATTTTGAAGAAATGCATGCTGAAACTCACTCCCAAACGGTGCCAATCCGATTTTGTTAAAAGTCCTAAGTAGTTACTGTCTTTCACCTAAACTCAACTTCACAACTGTCAGTCTGTTTAGTCAATCCGATTTTACATACAATTCCTTTGCAATTAATGTCTATCACAATCTCAACCTCAGAGATGCCAGCCCTTTTAGTCAATCTGATTTCGTATAAAACTCCATTCTGTATATGTATGTATACCAGATTCTACAAGAATATCCCCAAAAGGCAAACACAAAACAGGGCTCAAGCCATTCCAAAATTGGAATGTTAACGGGACATTTTGTACCAGAATTTAAGATAATCATAAAAGATTTTACTCAATCGAACACAATTTCCCAATCATGAAAATGTCAGAAAATGACTTACTTCAGATCCCAACTCAGATTATGATAGCTAAGAGTAGCTTAGCACACTGTTCCAAGTCGAACATGCAATACTTCCAGATTTCCAAATTTTAGAAGAAGAAAAGTAGTAAAGCATAACAATAATCCAAAACAGTAAACATCTTCCATTGCCAATAAACATCCACTGAGATCCAGATCTCGAAACTCTAAGAATGTTTTAAGAAAAAGGCACCCTCCCCATTAGACTCACCAAAACTAGCCTTGATTGCCACTTCTTTTTTACTTTTTAGTTTTTGTTACTCACTCACCCTTCCGCACAATGTATAATAGTGGAATTGTACAAACCTGAGGCTTTCCAGAGACAACAGTGACGCAATCTTTACAGCCTTGAGCTCGCTCATCGGCGATAAGCGGTCTTATATGAAGAGCAACTTTAACACAGCAATTCTCTCCTCCGTTAGAAGCAGGAGAAGATGAAGGAGAAGGAGAGGAAGAAGGAGAAGAAGGAGCTTCCATTGAGAAATTAGAAAGAAACAAAAAGAAGAAAAGGAAGTCACAGATTTTATTCTTTTTAGCTAGAGGAGAAATTTTACAAAGGTTAGCATGTATGTGAAAAGATCAAAGAAAAACAGTTCTCATTGTCTGAGAAATTGGAGAATTTTATGACAAGAAAGTGATTTAACAACCACAACAGCAAATAGTTGTAGGCGGTTGATAGCAAGAATAAGCTGGTGGAGTTGAGAGTACTGTGTACAATGGGTAGCTTAGTTTGGCTTGGTTACAAAGAGAGTGAGAGAGAAGGCGTAGTTGGGGAATTAGCAGCAAAACGGTGGCAGATTAGAAGCGGTGGGATGGCAGCTGGTCCTTCGCTAGCGCCGCATTACTAAACACGCCGAAATAGTTTATTTAATGTCAAAACACAAATGTTTTTAAAAATATTTTTTATTTAAAAATATATTAAAAATAAAAAAAATTCATTATTAATACATTAAAATTATTACAAAACATTAAAAAAATATTAATTTAATATTTTTGAAAATAAAATATAATTTTAAAACGCATGTGAAAACAAAACTACTCAACTCCCAAACTCCAACCAGTACCATTTCCTTAGCCTTCACAAACTCCCACACCCCCTGCAGCCCCCACGGTTGGTTTGGTAAATATGTCATGACTCTGTGTCCTATTTTGCCCTCTAAAGCCACCTTCTCCCTCTCACACACCTTCTTTCTTGTCCTCTCCGTTTCTCCTTTCGCTATTACCGCTTTACCCCTCTTGGATTCTCTCTCCATTTTTGTTTCTCAGGCGAATTCGCAAAACCAATTCTTAAAAAGGAAAACAAATTTCAGAACCAGTTTTCACAGACAAATTTTAGGAGCAGTTTTGGAACGCGCGTGAACAGAATTTCTTAAAAATTTAATTTTTTTATTATTTTTATCAAATTTTAAAAATAATTTTTTAAAAAAAAATTAAGAACAATTGCATTACACTTTTTAAAACACGTTGAATATATACACCTGGATTGAAGTTTTACCAGAATAAAAAAAAAAAGGAGTATTTATTTTCTTTATGAGGCCAAGTTAGCAAGTGTATGTTGGTGACAAGAAAAACAGCGCGTATAACGATGTTTGTGATTCATGATTGTCCCCGAAAATATGGTAGAAAAAAGGGAGAACACAGCACACAACCCACGTGATGTCGAATCATATTACCGCTGTGGAGAGATGTTTTTAACACGAGGTCCTGGACGATGTGTTTGGCATATGGAGGAAGGCACCATTTTGTCCATTTTGTGCTTCTTTTTCACTCTGTTAATTTTATAAGGATCAATTTGGGTTCATCTTGCTAGTTGGCGATGGACATTGATGAGTTATAATTAGCCAACTACTCCTAAAGTCTTACTTTATGGTATAATTTGTTGTTTGTGGGTGTACGGTAATGGTGGTGTGGCAGAGGTAGGGAAGTTCATTGCCTTTTGTTATTCCGGTTAAAATTGTATTTGAGTATGTTTTAAAAATACATTTATCTTATAAAATATAAAATTAATTATTTTTAATACTTTTAAAATATTTTGATATATTAATTTAAATTATTAAAAAAAAAAATTCAAGCAAACAAATACACATAATAACTAGTTTTCAATTATGCTTTTTAGATTTAATTTTAGAGATCTTTTGGAGCTAATTTCTAAGCTATCATTTTATTATATTTTGAAAATAAATTTGATTCAATTTATTTTTTAATTTTTTGAATTATTTTAATATATTAATATCAAGAATAAAAATAAAAATAAAATATTATTTTAATATATTTTAAAATAAAAAACAATTATTAATTTTCTCCCCCAAACAGGGGGTGGACCCTACTCCTTCCACACTGTGGTCAGCATTTATTACTGGTCAAATGTTTCGAGAGATGTTATGAACTTATGGCGTTGATTAATTTTGGAATTTTGCAAATTTACATGATCATCCATCCTTCTTACGTGGGCACTCTCTAGAACAGCTCTGCTTTTCCATGTCAAATCAACACCCCCAGCAATAACATGTTCTCACAGTCACAGTCTCCTCCATTCCGGTTACCTACGCCTTTATTGGCTAAAGTATTTTATTGTTTTTTTAGTATTGATTTTTTACTCTTTTCATTTTTCGTTACTGATCATCTCCAGAAGAAAGACAGTGAATTAATTGGGAGATTGATGGGTTCTTCTCACCATATCATAGAGCGTGCGCTTAACCCTTCCATGCGGGTCAAGCCTGAACCATCACATTTTATTTTCCTTTCTCGTGCAGTAACTAGCAAAAACTAACAGCACCAATTCTTCAAAATAAAAAAAAAACAAAAACATCAAGATCTTGACAGGTATTTCTCATCTAAAAGGGGAATAAGGACGTAAAAATAATTAAATGAGACCTTTTTCTTCTTCTTCTTTTGGCTTTGATGCATTTCTATCCATGTGTGGTAGACTGCAAGTTAAGAAAACTCGTTTGTAGACATCAATTTCTCACTGCAGTACTTGTCTTGGCTGCTTTATTCACGAGGAAGAAACACGGTGAAACCAAGACGAAGAAAAGCTGATGCAAAGATCCTAACCCTAAGTTTCCCTTTCCCAACCTAACTCTCCTTTCATTGGATTTTTCCCCATCTGACCGTTGGCTATGCGGACCAGACAACAACTGCATAGTAAAAGGACCCACTTGACTGGATTAAGTTTGTCGTGGCAATTCAGTTGGTGTTTAGCAATACTAAGTTACTTTTAATCTCCCACGATTAAGCCAATCTGGCCGACCTGGAAAGAGTTTGAACCATAAAGCAATGAATGATGACTCTTTGACTACAACGTAGATGGAACCGGCTCCTTATCCTGTTGTTTTCTGTATTCTGTATGAATTACTAATTGTTGGGTCCCTGGCGATACATGTCTGGAGCCAATGTAGCGGCGCATGATCCGTATTGAGAGTACTGACCGGCAATCTCTCTCTCTTTCTTTTTTAATGCTAATTTTTTACAATATTAAAATTAATAATTAGATAAATTATTTTGAAATTTGTAATACTTGAATTAATAATTTTTAATAAATAAATTTAAAATTTAATCGGTTAAACTACGAGCCTCTCGAGATTTTAATGGGCAATCTTTTAACCTGAGATGTGGTACGGTCTTGCCAGCAATTTCATCGCAATAGATATCTTCACTCACTAAATGCTCTACACGGAGACACCAAAATCTTGTTCCCCAACTTGAAGGTAGCTAGGATATCTCATATGCTGACCAGCGATGGCCTGCAGGGACCGAAATCTTACTCTTGTTTTTTTCCTCCCCTCTGTATGGCAAGGTATAGGTTGGAGAATGTCATGATAAATTAAATCGTGGCAAGGTCCCTCCTATATATACTCGTAGATTTAGATAATCTTTTATCCTGACAAATCACGTCAGCCAACATGCTTCTATAACGCAAATTTCCTTCCCTTCTCTTGTCCACGAACCTGTGTATATAATAATTAAAGTGGAATCAACTTTCGGCCATAAAAACACCTTCTTTAAATTAGAGTGCTAACCCAACACATAATTCTCATCAGACCATGAGGGAATTAAGCCGAATGATTTGATTGAGTTGGGGTCGTATTCTATCCAATTTTGCAGCAGCTTTTCCCCTTGGATTTCAGAGAGGAATAACTACTTGTGCAGCAAGCTGTGATCTCTTTATTCCCACCCCTCCGTCCCCTGCCTCTCTTTTTTTCCTTCTTCTGCATTCTACCCCATGTGGAACCTCGCCTCATCACATGCTCTCAGCTCCTTTCATCTCATCACAGCATTATATTCCTAGTTCTTCCTTTTTATCCAAGCTCCACCATCTTTCTGTCAGACTCGGTAACAACTCCCCTTCATTAAATACAATTATTAAGCTCATTATTTAAAATCAATTTGGACCATCTTACAATCCAATCCCGCAGTTCGGTTAATCAGTGCACGTTATTTTAAGTAGTCAATCAACATGATATTCTTTATAAGGCTTCAAGCATAGGATAGAGATGGCATAATTACCACTGCGGCCCTCTTCTTGTCAACTCTAGATGGAATATGCAATCAAATTATCAAATATGTATGGGTTGCATGCTTCTTTCAATTCTGTCTTCCATCGTGTATCATCTTGGTAAAGGCTCTGCTATACTCATATAGCTGTTGACTATCTTTATCCATGGGCTAAAAAGCTAATAAACTTTGAATTGTAGAGACACATCATGTGCAAGATTGCTATTGTTCATCATGCGCTTTGGGGTCATTGCTTCTAGAGTTGGACTATAAGTGGTGATATGCAAGTGTTGTCGATCTCCTGTTTTCTAGTGGGGTTGGCTCCTCTCAATTTATATCCAGTCACCAATCCCAATCAAATCAGACGTGTTCATGATTGTAATGTGGAGAGTCCCACAAATGGGAAGTGTCCCAGCTCTCAGGGGCCTTTTCTTTCTTTTCTCGTGTTTTCAATGGCAATCACAAAATTATTTTCCATGTATAAAAAAAATTCAAGGTCATTTTGTTTTCTTAATACAGAGTTCTTTCATCGAATGATGAATGTTTGCTTGGAGGGTTTTTTAAAAGATATACCATCGACATCCAAACTGATATTGACACACCCACCCACTCACTAGATACGGACCCACGCTCCGCTGCGGGGTGTTTTCAAACCTCTATAATGGATTTTATCTTAATCAAGTACGAGTGAGCATGAAAGAACGATAGGAAAATCTTGGGGGTGCAAATTGTTGTTAGGCAAGTTATGTAGCTACCATTAATAAATTAATTTAGGCAAAAAGCAAGCAGAAAATTAGCATAAGAGGACCATTACGCCAAAGCAAATGCATAGGGCTTTAATCCTTTATGAAGGAAGCAAGATGAACCAAAGCAGCAACAGTGGCTATTAATTAATAGATATTTTTTACAGAAGGCAAAGAGTGCAGTGAAAAAGGTGAAAAACAAAGGGAGCCAAGGCTGGGATTGCTGCGTGGAAGACTTTTTTGAGAAGGAAGGAGTTGCCCCGAAGGAGAAGGTCAAAGGAGCAAAAAAAAAAAAAACAAAACAGACAGACAGACAGACCTCAATAGCTCACTGTAAAAGGTCCTTAACGTTCCTGCACCCAAAAAAACAGAAGCTACTGCAATTAATACTGCCAAGCAAGCAAGAGGTGCGGAAGAAAAAAGCAACTTCAATGCACAATTTGCAACAGCAAAGCAATAGGATAGAAACACAGAGCATAGCAAGGGGAAACAACAGCAAACGTGAGGGCTACGAATTATAGGCAGAAGCAGGTGGAAGAATATTCTCTAATGGGAGTAGGCACGAAGTGGAAAAATAGTGAAAACCGAGCACTGCATGAGCTCAGAAGCAAAAGGAAAACAAAGTCATGAGTGTGCTAGAAGGAACAGAAGATCCAATCCAAAAATAAGTGTGTTAATTGTCACATTAATCGATGACAAAACCGAAAGGGCACCTGGGATTAGCACCCACCACCACTGGCAAAATGGTTCCTGGATGCAGTTGATGAGGACAACATGAGCGAACAGAAAAAGTTATAAAAAACATGGGTTGCACAGCAATATTGTAGGTGTAGGTGAAATAAAAATGCTAGAAAGCATGCACACTATAAGAAGGCAGTGGTGGGTTTGCCCCTGCAAAAGTCAGAGGAGATGGAAAGTTTAGGTGGGTTTGAGTATCAACGATGCTGAGGCTTCAGGTAGGGGTCACCTTGTACAGGTTGGACCAACCTAGACATCAAAGCAAAAAATATCCAAGCACAATAAAATCCAGGACCACAACCAGTAAATTAGAATGCTTGTTTGCGTGTAAATGCAAGCGACACAAAAAGCTAAGGGATAAAAACTGAGAATCTTACAGTGTAAGAGCTTAGAGTTATCAGAAGGTTTTTGCTTTAGCCGGCGGCTCTTATTTCTTTTTGCTCTCTTGAACATGAGACTAAATAAGAGAGAATAAAGGACTGACTATAGCTTTTCCAGCCATGTCTAATAAGGCTGGGGACATTATGCAGAAGCAATGTGAGAGAATGAGGGAAAATGAGAGGGCCAGTGACGACCTCTGCTCCCCTCCCTTTTTTTACTTTCTCCTTGCACCCCTTTTGAGACTCATAGCCTTTTAATCTAATTACACAGCCGCTTTAATTCATCTAATTGACCACACATGCCCAGTTAAGCTAGCAATTTTCTTTTGATCCATGCCTTCTCTAATCCTCATCACTCACCAGTTTTGGCCAAGAACGCAACACAAGAAAAGAACCAAGCAAAACTCGAACAAAAAAACTGGACACATAAGCTAGATTAACAGCCTTGACTAACTAAATCCCTGGTATAACAAAAGACAAAAGAAAAATTGAAACAAGGCTCAAATCTGGAGAAACCTTCGCCGGAGGGGGGGGGGGGGGGGGCAATCAAAGAATAAAAAGATTTGTTCATATTGCTGCACCCAAAAGGACGGGGGGGGGGGGGGGGGGGGTGGAGGCAATCAAAGAATAAAAAGATTTGTTCATATTGCTGCACCCAAAAGGACGGAAAGGCTTCTGAAAGAGAAGCAAAGCCAAACCAAATAGTATCAAAGTAAACCAAACCAGCCCAGCGCTGGAAATTGCAAGGCAGAGGGACAGGGAAAAAAAAAACTATATTAAAAAAGAGTGTAAAGGCTGGTTTATTACACAAGACAAAAGCCAAATGCATCAAGGAGGATATCTTGAGCATAACAGTAATCAAATCGACTGTAGGGGAAGGGGAGCGGGGGAAGGGATGCAAACACACAATATCAATGCAAGGAAAACTACCAAAAAAGGCAGAAACCAAATGAGAAAACCTTGCAGCACTCAAGGTGAGCGAAAATGGTACAAATCATTGATAGAGTAGTGAGAGAGCCACCAGGAATTCAGACCATAAGCATGCACAGAGATGACAAAAAGAAAAATAAATATAGGTTCCAAGCCAAATTCAATGCAAAGAAAAGGATGACATAAAAAAGAACGGACCAACACGAAACAAATGGTAAGGTCTTAAAAAGCACCCTGAAACGAAGGTATGAAAGGCTGTTAAAAAACCAAAAAATAAGATTTGGGAAGCCAAACAAACACAGAGATGACATGGTGAAGTTCCTAAAACGCCTTGAAAAAGAGAAACCTGCCGAGTAAGGCACAATCAGTTGTTAAAGCTCTTCTGAAAAGAGTGAGACCACCAGCAAGACAACCTTGCTCCTAACCGAGAAGGCCTTGTGGAAGAGAAAGAAAGACACAATGAAGATATACATAAAAAGTCGACCAGAAAGATCAACCAAGAATCAACCTTGAGGGAAAGTATCAAAGTGCATGACAACAATATACAAATAAGAAGCCAAACAAAAAAGATTGACAGAGAAAAAATGTAGGGTAGAAAAGCAAAATAATTTGCAAGAAGAAAAGCAAAAGTAACAGGGAAAGCTGCGCAGGCAGAAAAGGAAGCCATTTAACAAAGGAGGAAAGAAAATACACAACGCATCCTTAAATCGAAGCAACAAAACAACACAGGGAACGATATACACCCAAAACAATTTAGCGCAATGGCAGAAAACAAAAAAAAAAATCCATATTGGAAAATAAACAAAGCGAGGTAACATAGTAGATGCAAGTGAAAGAAAGTGAAGTGAGTTACATAAGATAAAGAATTCGCAAACCTAATAGGTCACCAAGGGCACCGACGCAGAGGCAAACTAATCCTGTTAAGCAACATGCTGCTAAAAAAAAGGTCACCAGCTGAACCATCTGAGACAACTAAAAACTCAGAAATGAAAAAAGCATAGAGCCAAAAACACATTAAAAGTGAGAAGAAACAAAAACAAAGGGTAAAGATAAAAACAATGTGGAAAAATTGCAGGAAAAAATAGATAACCGATTGAAGAGAGACAGCAGCCGGAAAAATATATTTCCTAAAAAGCAAGAAGCTGCAGAAACAAATCAGTAATGAAATGATGAACTTGGAGCAACTGAGTATAAAAAACAAAACCCAAAAACATTAATTTAAAAACACACCCAATGCGAAAAAAGCACAAAAGATGGAGATAAAACAAACTGTTAAAACAACAAAAACCTACCAGGGAACTGCAATTGGGAAAGAAATTGACAGTGGAAGAGTTGAGAGTAATGGTTGGGAAGGCCTCTCTCAAAAACACCAACCCTATCTCACACCAACTTCGAAGCAAAATGAGAGGGGTGCCTATAAATCATGTACAAATTGAATTTAAAAAAGTCGTGCAGCCTAGCTGCATAGGAAAATACTGAAGAATAAGACTAAAATGACAAACACAAATTATGCTAAAGAATGAGCAAGGGAAAAAAAACGCATCTAGTTTCATGAGAATCGGGAATGAACAGTTCCTAGAGAGACCAACCAACTTGAAACACCAACCACTTCATGAGAGAGAGAAACATGTCATGTCCAAGCCAACAACCGCAGCTCTCCCAGGTCATGATCGATGATAAACCAAAACAAAGTGGAAGAGTGCATTAATGCACAATGATGATAATGACAACAACTTGCATGTCAATTCCAAACCCATGTATGATCACAACAACAACACAGCAACAACCTAGCAAATCACAAAGCAAGCCGATGTATGAAAGAACCAAACACCCAGCAAATTTCACACGCCTTTAAAATAGTACAGAGCTAGACAACCCCCAAGAAAGAAGAATGATCTACCAATCAACAACAGCTGATCATCCAGGACCCGTCGATCCATAAAAAATGAAATTCCCAGCCACACGCACCACACTATTGAAATACACGAATTTACTCTTTGTGTATAAGTAATATCACCACGAATTAGTTTATTATAATGATAGAATAAGAAACAAACTTCCTTGTTACCTAAGAAAGGTCAAGCTGTGTTCATCTTTGATTATTCTTGAATTTGGTGTTGAATTCTGTAGATGCAAACAATTCTGCACAGGTTCCTGCTAGTCTGTGTGTTGTAACTCACCAAATCAAGGATTAGATTAGTATAGCATCGCTCCGAAGGATTCGAAATCCATCCGCCTTTGATTATTCCGGCATGGGAGTTTTCGGCATCAGTCCAAGCCCGGTAAGGTCTCTATTGTGGAATGTATAAGACGGATGGTCGGCCTGTTGAGATTTGGAAATAGGAAGGCCCAGTGACATAAGCTAAGCATAATTGAATGTGGGCTTAGTTTGGTTGGACGTATTTATAATATAGAGGCCACAGCCATTAGAGTCCTAATATTAATAAAAATGAACGTGGAGTCCGTCCGGCCTCCAACTCAGCTACCAAAAGTCAACCACAGAAACAAATCCCCTTTCATTTTCTTTGCAAGCTATAAATGAACTGTCGGTCGGTCACATAAAAACCAGGTCGCGTTGAAAGCACTCTAAATTACGTATTGCCATTTATCAAACAGTTAGTCAGTCTCTGCACAGAGATAGAGATCTATCATGTCAGGAGGAGGCATAGCTCGTGGTCGTCTTGCTGAAGAGAGAAAGGCATGGCGTAAGAACCACCCTCACGTATGTTCTCTTTCTTCCATCTTTGCCCCTCTAACATCTATCCTGTCTTCGATTGGGTCTTATATTGTGTTTCTTTTTCCTTTTGGTTTAGGGTTTTGTGGCTAAGCCTGATAATGCTCCAGATGGTTCTCTAGATTTGATGATGTGGAAGTGCATTATACCTGGCAAACCTGGGGTTCGTAATTTTGTTTCCCTCTCTTTCTCTTTCTCTTGTTTTTTTTTTTTTGTTTAAAAAATTCTATATTTTTTTAGCGTCAAATTGGCGTGAATTTTAATGGAATTCACCATTTCTTTTCGATTCATGACACCAGAGTTTTAATTTTGATTTGTTTGTATAGTAATTAGACTTGTTTATCGCAAGAGTAGTTGAGATTGTTCGAATCACTTAGGATTTATGATTATATAATTGTGGACAGATAAATAATAAAAGGTTTTAAGTCAACGGAGGTATTTGGTAGGTGGGGGGCTTATTTATTAGGAAATTGGTATAATAGTGTGAGGTTTTGTCAACCTCTTTTTTTTGGTTGCTGCGCCAAAAACTACATTCCATAGGATTTCTCTTGGGTTTAAATGAAGTGCTCTCATGTTCTGGTTTGATATGAGCATCTAATATTCGATTTTTGTTATGTTTTTAGTTTACGAGGAATGGGTTTCTTCATATAGGAGTTGCAAAGCCTTGATGGTCCCTTTTGTTTTCCTTCTCATTCCCTTTTTAGGGCCCCAGGTGGCTGAACTTACAGCTTAGAAATGGCATTCATGTCACTGTCCCTTTTGGTCGTGGACAGTTCTGTGCAGCTTAAGGCTGCTGAACCCTTGACGTTTTTAAGTTTGAAAAATGAATATTAATTACATCACTCAATGCCCCACTTTAGAATTTATTTTCAAGATTATCAGATACATTGTATAAGATTGGAAAATATGGGAGGACTTAAGAAGTGGGAGATGCTTTTAGGTCATAGCTCTTGTATTGTGCAGATCAATTGGCTTTTTTATTCTTTATGAGAGGGCCTGAGTCATGATTTCTATCTTGACCTTTTTAAGTTGTGTTTGGGGTTGGTTTGATTCATCTGGAGATTGATATGTTCATTGCTGAACTCATTACATAATCATTCCACCCCCATCTACAAAGAAAGCAAGAGCTGTTTCTAGTTTCTAGGTGTTCTGGAAATGCACTTCCATAAAAGTCAGCATGGCGTGGTTGCTGAAAGATCTCATCTGAATGATAATGTCCTTAATTTGCAGACCGATTGGGAGGGTGGCTACTTCCCCCTCACTCTTCATTTCAGTGAGGACTACCCAAGCAAACCTCCAAAGTGCAAGTTCCCCCAAGGTTTCTTCCACCCTAATGTCTACCCTTCAGGAACTGTGTGCTTATCTATCCTCAATGAGGACTATGTAAGTAGTTGGCTCACTCTTTCATATGTGACATATTATGTAGCACAGAGTTTCTAAACACTGAAATCTTTTTCTAGGGCTGGAGACCAGCCATTACTGTGAAGCAAATATTAATTGGCATTCAGGATTTGCTTGATCAACCAAATCCTTCTGATCCTGGACAAACTGATGGCTATCAGCTTTTTGTCCAGGTTTTTGATCTCTATACCTCTATTATCAGCTTTGATATGATTCATTCCATATTGAATTTCCGTATTAAGCAACAGGGCTCTGACTTTGCAGGACCCTGCTGAGTACAGGAGAAGGGTGCGCCAACAAGCCAAGCTATACCCACCTACGCTCTGATGCAATAGTTGCTTCACCATGCCTGCAACTTATTAGTTAGATCCCATCATGTATGTCCAAGCCTGATTTAAGTAGCAGAGTGATTTAGCATGGGTGCTAGTTAATTGTGAATTATAGCTACGCTTCCCATTTCTGTATTAAAGGATGTTTTTTAGTCATGCTTTGCGACAATGTTCCTCCCTGCATTGCAAGTTAGCAACAAGACAACTGTTGAGTATCAAACCTATCTTGATTGCCCATTAAGATTGTTATTTATACCTCCAGCAAAACAGCACGAAATGTGGAAAAGGGTTGCAAGGGAAACGTGACTGATGCAGCTGGAATTGGTTAAAGCAAGTGTAAGCTATGCTATGTTGTTATATAAATGAGAGCGTGTATGATATTGAATTATATACTTCCAAGCATGCAATATCATTAAATAAAATTTGATTTAGATGTTAGAGTTGGTTCATGCGAAACCAGGGAAGGAAATTGACTTGATAGTGTTTGTGGGAGGTGGCTTGTGTCGTGTAGGATGGCAAAGGGAGAAGAATGCCGAAGCTGCCGAGTTCTAACCAGAAGCGGCATTGGTTAGATTAAGATGGTCTCTAATCTTTTATGCATATCATGTCAGAAATTCACAATTGCTAGAAGCTTTCACGTTGATTTATTAAGTTTGACTAAACCAGAGGACTATTTAATTCTACTGTGCATGTTTCGACATTAAGGTGTGGTCCAATATTCATATGATATTCTGCAATTTATTTTGTATTGGACATTAAAGCTTGTCCAATATTCCTTTGGTTTCTACAACTGTATTACGCAATCAGAATCATTTTACTTTTTCGTTGCAAAGAGTCGACCAAACAATGACTTGGAAGTCATTGTACCGGTTATCCCCTTGTTTCTTCGCTGCAGGGGCTGAGTGGTTCACCTTGATTCCCCGCGCCCTGTTGCGTATTTGTACGTTCTGATGTCCTCAATTAGGGCTTTCAAGTCATTACAAGACGATCCGCCTTCTTCAATTGTAATCTTCGCGAATGCTGCTAGTCTGCTTGCTTGTTTTCTCATCTCCATTGCCTCATCTGTGTCGCCCATAACAGTTCTCACTGCCTTCTCTATTTTGTGTCTGTTTATCAATGGTGATTCCTCATTTGCCCACACTTTCCAAGTCTCATTGCCAACTGGCACTCCTAATTTAAGCACCTGAGTTATGAGCTTCTCATTGTAAAACTGCTCTGCAAAAATTGGCCATGTGACCATGGGCAGACCGGCACAAATGCCTTCAAGGATAGAGTTCCAGCCGCAGTGAGTTAAAAACCCTCCAATTGCTGGGTGCTCCAGTATTAGCAGCTGCGGGGCCCATCCCTTTATAATCAATCCTTTGCCACTTTCCTTGAACTTATCTTCGTACTCTTCTGGCAGCCACCAGTCCTGCTGCCGATCAAGGTTTTTATCTTCGTTGTCAGATTTCAGGATTTTTCCTACAGCCCAAATGAAAGAGTGCCTCGACTCTTCAAGTGCACTAGCAATTTCTGATATTTGAGTCTTGCTAAATCTGGTCAGGCTTCCGAAACAAATGTAGAGAACGGACTTTGGTTTCTTGGATTCCAGCCAATCCAGGCAGCTATGTTTACGTATTGAAGTCTTGCCACCTCTTTCTAGTCTATCATCGGCATTTCTATTGAACAGAGATACAGGACCCAAGTGCCACGCCTTGATTCCAGTGACTTTTCTGAAATGATCAGCATAGGCTGGTTCTAACTCATAAAAGCTATTCATCAACACTCCAAAGCTTTTCCTCTCAGCCTCCTTCAGTTTATCAAACAAAGCAGAGAAAACTTCGTTTTTGCCTTTGACAATATCCGGTAGTTGTGATCTTGTAATGGTTACTTTGTCTGGCAAGCCTGGAATGACAAATTGTTCCGTCTCAGATGTGACATTGTTGTGAGGTCGATGACAATCAATGCTGTTTGCAACACAAAGATTGAAGAATCCACTGCCATTAAAGGCAAGCCTCGGTATGCCAAGTTCAATGGCAACATCAACAGTCCATGGGAAGAGATAATCAGAGGCAATGCAGTCAGGGCGGTGCTTCTGCAAGATCATTTTAATATGTGGTTGCAGCAATTCTATGCCGTGAAACAGCTTCAAAGTCATTTCAGGGGTCGTTGTGGAGGATAAATTTTCGCAGCCTTCAGGTAAACCAGCTTCTATGCTAGGGAAACGGACAGTAGCCAACGAAATCTGTCGACCGGATTTGATATCCCGATCAATTGCATTCTTAAACTGAGCGGCATTCGTGGTGGTGGTGATTATGGTGACCTTTAATCCATTTCCGGCTAATAGCCTAGCCATGTCCACCATTGGCATCATGTGGCCTGGTGCCAGGTAGGGAAGGAACATTACATGAATTTGTTTTTCTTCTGAATCCATGATCGATTGCGAATTGAGAGACCTTGCCAACGGAGAGGTAAAGGGAAGTGAAGGATTTGAGTAGTTGAGAGAATTGCTGAATTCAAAAGATTGTGAGTTTGTCACCGGCTTCGGCTTGTTTGTAGGATGAGCGAGAAATTCACGGAAGGTCCGATTCTGATGTTCCTGATATTTTGACATTTTTTTGACAATCTTTTGACATTCCGTATGGCCAGCAGGGAAGTCCTCGGCCTAAACTATATTTCATACTTTGTAACTTACATTTCGGTCCTCACAATTATAATTACATTACAATTACAAGAAAAACTAAAGAGAAAATTACATTTAACATCTTACACTTTGATCCAAATTGTGATTGCCTGATATAGTTTAAAAAAGTACACTTTATATCCTCGGCTAATAAAATTTTTTAAATCTGACAAATTAATTATAACTACCCCATACATGTTTAGTGACTTCAGATTTTCCTTCCATATTCATCTTAACCTTGGAAACCATTGATTTTGGTTTTTTTCAACTCTTAACAATGCTGAATTTTTTATATCTTTTATTTATCTCAATTTGTTTTAATTTTTTAATAAAAACTTTATCACGTGCATTGTCAATATCGAAAGGCTTCTACATGAACCTCTCTTTCAACAACATCTATTTTCAATGTTATACTCCTTACATTTACCAGTGTAAATAACATCGAAAGGCCTCTACATGATCCTCTCTTTCAACAATATTTGTCTTCAATGTTATACTCCTTACCTTTAGAAGTGTAAATAACACCTAAACTTCAATCTTATCTCAAATTACTAGTCTCAGTCCCCTAAAAAAACTTGTAAATTGTTGAACCTATATCTTCTGAAGGTGATTATATTTTGTTGCCTTTTGAAACTCAATATTATACCCATATATAGATCTATTTCCTTATAAACAATATTGATATTACTAAAGTAAATATTTTTCATAACTATTAGGAATGAATCTATCATATAACATATGCCTTGTATATGTTCATAATGTATTGGGCTTTCTTCCATTTCTTAATCATGTATCCATTTGAAACTTCCACCATAAAAAAGCTCATCGTCTATAACACTTATGTTATCTAACCCGAAACTTCCACCATAAAAAAGCTCATCGTTTCATCATGTCCTCTTCTATAACACTTATGTTATCTAACTCTATTACATTTAGCGATTCAATTAAGAAACTATTATATCCAAATACCCATTAAAGGTAAAGACCTTTTCTTTTATATAAAACTTATTTACTTATTGCCTTTCAGGTTATAATGGTATGTAATAATATGCCAAAGATTTACGACCCTTCTCAAGTTTGTTTTGACCAAAACTTTTTGCATAGACAAGTAGTTGTCTAGGTAGAACTTAAAGAATAGATTTAAAGTTAGGTCTGCCTTAAAATAAGTCTTCATGCATGTCTCTTTCATTTTTCATGATCTTTGTCTATCCTTTCTACTAGCCAAGTTATATGTTCCAAGCTATTTGATATTTTTGCCATTATTTTCTTCAAATGATGTAGCTTTAATGATTGAGCTTTTATTAGGGGATCAAGACTAGTAATTTGAGATAAGAATATGAATATGCAATGTAATGAATCAAATCTATCTCTTAATAATATTCTCATTCAAAACCAATAATGAATTTATCACAACTAGTAAGCTAGTTCATAAATTTATCAACACTTAGATATCCATTAAAATTCAGGGTATAAAGTTTTAAACAAAATTCATTCATCTCATAAAAATATATTTTAGGTCTAATCATGTCGTAATCAATAAATTTATATAGCCATCGCTAATCTTGTACTTTATATTTTAATGAAAAAATTAAATATAAGGAAAGTGATATTAATTTAATTGTTCATATGCCCTGTATAAAATATATTTGTAATCATCCTTTACTCTGTTATTTTTTTTTTTCCTTTCTGTTATTCCTCTTGCTTTTTTGTTGGCCTTTAAGCCAGACATGCAGCTGATGCAACGTAGATTGTATATCATTCATTTCATTTCTCGTGGGATAGTATGAGGAAAGCAGACCTGATATATATATATATAGGCCTGCGTCTATCTTGTGTAGATTAAGAAACATAAACAGAATTTTTTTTTTTCCTTTCTGTTATTCCTCTTGCTTTTTTGTTGGCCTTTAAGCCAGACATGCAGCTGATGCAACGTAGATTGTATATCATTCATTTCATTTCTCGTGGGATAGTATGAGGAAAGCAGACCTGATATATATATATATAGGCCTGCGTCTATCTTGTGTAGATTAAGAAACATAAACAGAATGAGAAGAGCACTTCATAAAACCATGCAATCAAACTATCTCGTTCTTTAATTTTCTTCCTTCTGCAACTTCTAGCATTTCTTACAGGCTATGCTTGCGTTTTTCTTTTTACATAACATACTCAAGTTTAAATTTAAAGAATGTATGCAGTGAAGTAGCCCTTTTCCATCATCTAATAATAACCAATAAATTAGAGTAGTTGAAACTCCAAACTTCTTCATTCAAAGAAGCTACTAAATACGCATCGCTGGAATAATATTTTCTTGTGTATTTTTTTAACGTAATCTACCTCAAATTCTAATTAAAAAAAATAAGCACGAAACAAAAAGAAAATGTTGGGTTAGAAGTGCAACGACAGGCGTGCAAATTAAATGCAATTTCAAACTTGCAAGTAATTGCCGTTTCTTGGAAAGCTAGGCATCTTATATTTGAGAAATCCCAGAAAGAACGAAGGTGAGAAAAGGAAAAGGAGAAAGGTGAAAGGAGAAAGGAGAAAGGAAAAAAACAAGCATCTCATCTTTGCGTCTTTTATCCATCCTTTCTTGACTTTTTGAAGCATAAGCGCATGCTAGTTTTATTTACTGAAGCTCACAATTCAGAATCAGCATTTGTTTCCCATCTTCCAATTATATTTGCTTAATTTAGTGGTTTTAGACGGAGTTTTTAAAAAAAAAAAGTGTGGTTGAAGTTAATTTAGTGGTTTTAGACGGAGTTTTTTAAAAAAAAAAGTGTGGTTGAAGTTTTTTTAAAATATTTTTTTATTTAAAAAAAATAATAAAAAGGTTAATTGTAACATCAAACACCTTCTTACAGACAAAATAAAATTGATAAAATACATAAGAAGACGATCATGACACATCAATAAACACATCAATAAATACTAGATGCTTGACTCGCGTTTCATCGCAAGTTGAATATTTTTTTCAATAAAGAAATTGTATGCTTAGCTTTTTCGACATGTTTTTATAGTTAAAAAAATTTTAAGTGAAAATAAAAAAAAAAATTATGTATATATATAATCAAATAAATCAAGTATTATGTTTGTTAATAAATGAAAAAAAAAACAAATGATAAATAATAACAAAAAATAAAAATAAAATATCAAGAAATAGGTGTAAATTAAGATATTTAATTTCGCAATATAGGACATTTATCTTGTTGTGTTTGCTACATTTGTTTATTAAAAGAATTTTTTTTGTTTAATCAAATGATAATATAAATAGACACATATTAATTGATTGAATAAAATAAAAAAAAATAATATTATGCAAGAAAAGAGAAAAGGGATATTAATCTAAATAGGAAAAAAAACATAAATTAAAAAAAAATCAGAAAAAGCCAAAGGCTTAGCAAATCAGGCCAACCCACTTCACCCATTTCTTCATGGCCTGTATACGGGTTTGCCTTGGCAAGCTTGATCAATTGGGCCATTATTTCTTTTTTAGCTACATTGTCGCTCGTCCCAAATGTTTTTTTTAAAAAAAAAATAGATCATGTATCGTTTAACGCTGGCCAACACATCAATAAATACTAGATGCTTGACTCGCGTTTCATCGCAAGTTGAATATTTTTTTCAATAAAGAAATTGTATGCTTAGCTTTTTCGACATGTTTTTATAGTTAAAAAAATTTTAAGTGAAAATAAAAAAAAAAATTATGTATATATATAATCAAATAAATCAAGTATTATGTTTGTTAATAAATGAAAAAAAAAACAAATGATAAATAATAACAAAAAATAAAAATAAAATATCAAGAAATAGGTGTACATTAAGATATTTAATCTCGCAATATAGGACATTTATCTTGTTGTGTTTGCTACATTTGTTTATTAAAAGAATTTTTTTTGTTTAATCAAATGATAATATAAATAGACACATATTAATTGATTGAATAAAATAAAAAGAAAAAATAATATTATGCAAGAAAAGAGAAAAGGGATATTAATCTAAATAGGAAAAAAAACATAAATTAAAAAAAATCAGAAAAAGCCAAGCGCTGATAGGCTTAGCAAATCAGGCCAGCCCACTTCACCCATTTCTTCATGGCCTGTATACGGGTTTGCCTTGGCAAGCTTGATCAATTGGGCCATTATTTCTTTTTTAGCTACATTGTCGCTCGTCCCAAATGTTTTTTTTAAAAAAAAAATAGATCATGTATCGTTTAACGCTGGCCAAATTCAGGCCATTGTAGTGGCTGGAAAATCAAGCTTCAACTTTTTTTACTCAAAAACTCGTTTCCAACCTAAAACATCTAGATAATACTAGAAACCATAATAAATCTATTAATGACCTCAAAAAACAAATAAAAAAAACACTCCAAAACCACAATCAAATCGAAACAAAAAATCAAATCAAGTTCATATCTATTTTTTCAAGGGCTTTCAACGTGAAAAAAAAATCTAATGTAAACTTATCTTATTAAATAGAACTATTTGATTCAAATATCAACTGTTTTGGTAGACTAAATAAGTGTCAATAAAATATTTCTCTCTTTATTGTTGGAATCCAGCGAAGATCTCTTTTCTCCCTAACTGAGTGTCAATAAAATATTTCTCTCTTTATTGCTGGAATCCAGCGACCTCTTTCTCTTTTCTTCCTAACTGAAGATTAAAAAATAAGAAAAATAAAATTTTATACTAAAATTAAACTTAAAAATTATTAATATACTGAAATTGCATAATTTGCATTATTTTTTAAGTTCAAGGACCAAAGTGTATTTGTTACTAAAACTCTTGGCATGCCACTCATGTTTAGTGCCTTCTCATTTCAATTCCTCTTCTTTCACCTCCACACTTTTTTAAGAAATCACAATGAATTGGCTATTAATTAAAACTAAATTGCTAAAAAATAAAATTTAAGGATAAAAATGAATTTTTGACGCTTAGTACAGCAAAGTGCCATTCACAATGATTTGCGTGTGAACAGTACCTGCCTCCCTCTACAGTTAAAAAAAAACCAAGCATTTTAAGTGATGATATAAAAGGTGTTCGCTGTACAAATTCATAGATGTACA